GAGAGAGAGAGAGAGAGAGAGAGAGAGAGAGAGAGAGAGAGAGAGAGAGAGAGAGAGAGAGAGAGAGAGAGAGAGAGAGAGAGAGAGAGAGGGGACTAGGCATTCATCCAGCAAGCTACAAGATAACAGCGGTGGAGCAGCACTCAACAAGCCTAATTGGAACACGGGGGGAGAGGGAGAGAAGGAGAGGAGGACTAGGGAGAGACGGAATAACACAGCAGCAAGGGTAGATGAGAAGAGAGGGAGAGCAAGATAGAAGAGGGAGAGTGATTTGCAGGGAGATGGAAGGTGGAGAGGAATTGGAGAAAAGGGACTTTCAAAGTGCAAGTGGGGAGGGGGAGACGGAAAGCAACACGGAGGGAGATAAAGCAAGACATTGAGGGGGAGACTGAAAGCGAGACGGACACCAAGACGCAAAGGAATGTGGGGAGGTAAGAAAATTGAAAGAGACAAAGCAGAGGGATGGGTGGGGGGAAGTGGGGGAGGAGGGCAAGCTGAGCAACGGGACGATCAACTTAATGCAAGGAGAACATACCCAAAACTTCCATAATATGCATGCTCTTGGATGGCCATTAACTGGACTGCATTATACCCCAATCGCTTGATCCGAGGAAGCACATCATCTCGGAACTCAATGTATGAGTTGACCTTCGGCTCCTGCACATTGCGCAACCAATCCATAAATATTCAAGGAAAGCTCTCCAAACAAGGAAAAAATCAAACAAGGTAACATAAATTATCTAGCCTCAGTGCAGATAAATTATCTGGCCTCAGTCCTAGTCGCACCTCAGTCCTAATCTCACCACTATTAGCTGTGAGGACTCGTATTACTGCTCAACACAACACACAAATCATCATGGAACACAAATGCAGTAATTTCATCTCAAAATTAAATGCAGACACGCCTGTGCTTACTCATTTCATCTCTCTAAAGTTCACCCATCTTGCACACCGGCTGTCACTGCCGTACTGCTCGTGCTGACATCTGCAAAAGAGTGGTGTCTTCACCCGCATAGAACGCCCAGTAATTATTCCTGTATCTAGTTATACAAAATACAGCTATAATGACCAGGTGCTCTATTTGGGTGAAGACCATAGTATGCTCTCTCTCTCTCTCTCTCTCTCTCTCTCTCTCTCTCTCTCTCTCTCTCTCTCTCTCTCTCTCTCTCTCTCATGGCAACAGGTTTGAATTAGTATTCGATATTCACGCACCGTACTGCTCATGCCGACATGTGCTTCATAAATCCTCAGAGACCTTGGGCGGGACGGTCGTGGATGCTGCCACTCATGCTTCTCCTGCCAAAGATAACCACAAACGAACTCCCTTGATATTAGCTCATAAATAACTCCTCTGCTTCAATCTCTGTGTGAGGTGTGTGTGTGTGTATGTTTGTGTTATGAATTATCACCACAACTTCCCTATTCGACCCAGATGAGTAGATCCAAAATCAGAGCAATTTTACCTCTTTTGCAGTCAATGAAGCATGCTCAAGGAAAGACTGTCACAGCTACGGTCTATGAACTCCTTTTTTTTTTGGGCGCGGGGGGGAAGGGGGGAAGAGGGGGAGGGAAAACAGATTACCAAGTCACGAAAATGGTACCCATACACCTGGGTGCAGGTCCCACCGACCCAGGTTCTTTCAATCCATTTCCTTACCCACCATTTGTGACTGTAGGTAGATGAGACAGATCCTTAGCAAGTGGCCGCGGTTGAAGAATTAATCGATATATTCAAAGAAGGGCAGGCAAAACAATGCATGCACGCATGCACGCATGCACGCATGCAAAATGATAACCTCCTCCTCCTCATGATTCTATGGAGCATGGGTAATGATCGCATGCTTCACTATTTTATAAATTAAGTATATTGTAAGAATTAGAAAAATGTATTTTCTCTTTTTCTAGAAATTACTTTTAGAATCTATTTAAATTTAGTATGAAACAGGAATAAATCACGTTAACAAGCTCATCCACCACCAAACTGATACCATTCATTCACATTCATTTCAAGGATTTTATTATCCTTTCAAGTACAAAACTACAAAATGATTTTATTATCCTTTCAAGAGTAAAATTAAAAATCAAAACTTTTATCCATATGATTTGACAGACCACTTACCTCTGCCGGCGGATCATAGTAGATGCCGTTGTATGCTATCTCCCCCGGAGCCTGAACTGCAAACTTAATCCATGCTGGGATCGAGTCCTTCCAACCTGTTGGAGTATCCATATGGATCTGCGCACAGAATCATCAGACATATCGAAATTAAAAAGGTAAGTAGATGTCAGAAACAGGGGCAGACCGACTGCAGAAGATCTCAGACAAGCAGGCAGGGTGATGCAGAAGATCATGTCAGACAAACAGCCCCGCAGATTATTCCCATTAACCCTACCTATGTGCGGCTCAGGGTTCCCTACTTACTACAAAAGCAGCAAATACCATCCAAACCGACACCAGACGTCGCACGCGCGGACCAACAAGACAATAATGCATCGAGACTATCATGACACTGTCGCCAAATGTCAGACAAACAGACTGCCGTTGCAATGAAAGCAAGAATATTAACTATTAACTTGAACATTTTTTTTTTGGGGGGGGGGTTGGGTCACTGACAAATCCTGACAAAGAGCCTTCATACAAAAAGGCAAACAGATGTCCAATGCCAGATGATAGACATGTTACGTGAAGGTCCCGGGACTACCACCATGCAAAAGGGGGTAACAGACACTAGGTGTGGGAATAAGTGGGGTCACTTTTTTTTTAAGACACAGTAATCATATCAACAGACTCCATCTGCCATCTGCCACCTGCCACCTGTCATCTGACATCTGACATCTGCCATCTGTTATCTGACATCTGGCATGTGTTTCTGCCATCTGCCATCTGACATGTGGCATGTGACATGTCACATGTGAGACTTAATGCAGCGAAGACAGCAGCACTGGCATATAGCCAAGTGACATGCCGACCGACTGATTCTGATATCTGACATCTGACATCTGACCTGTGACAACTTTCGATCTTACCTCGCTACGCAGACTGTGGCACCAAAGCCCTCACAATTGCCCCTCCCTTCCCCACACAAACTCCTTTCCGATAAACTAAGCTCTCTCTCCAATCCGCAACCCTCCACACCTAACCAGAAATCATTTTCTTCACAGTCAGGGGGATAAGAAGGGATAAGGAACAGTGAAGGGCCTGAAGGCAATGCAAATACGCAAGAAAAGCTTACCTTCACTCTCGAGCCGTGAGGGATGGCGGGGGTTCCGTCCGCGTTGTCCGGGAGGTGAATCTCAAAGACACCAAACTCATTCTGATGCCGCATGTGCGAAACACATCGAGTTAAAAAAAGAAAACACAGACAGCATACAGATGAGAGCAAGAGGAAGGGGGAGGGAGGGGGAGGGAGGGTGGAAGGAGAAGGGAGGAAGGAGGAAGGAGGAAGAGGAGGGAGGAAGGGACAAGTACACACAAAAATTTGACAAAAACAACAAACGCAGGGTTCAGAATTTTATCCACCAAAGGAACACACACAGAAAACAGAAATAGGCAGTCTCATAGTCAATTGAAATTTGAAAGCATTATTTTCTTCCTTTTTTTTCCTTTTTTTTTCACAGGCATTCTACACTGTAAAAACAACATGCAAATAGTCATCTTGTGAGCTACTTCAGTACGGAGTCTCTCTCCTGTCTCTTATACACATCTAGATGTGTATAAGAGACAGGGGGGGGGGAGGGATGTTATAAATCGGGTTTTCAAGGGGCTAAAGGGGGAAGGGGGGTTATAAATCGGTTTTTCAAGGGGCTAGAGGGGGAAGGGGAAGTGCCTTACTTGTCTGATTCTGTTTTCTTTCTTTAACTTACGATTCCTCACGAATTCGGATGTGACCCTCAGCCAAAAGTCGTTTGTTTTGCAATTCTACGCAAAAAAAAAAATTCCTGAAATTTTCTGATTTTTTTCATTTTTTATTTTTTTTTGGCGTTGGGACTGCCCAGAACCCTGTCTGGCTCGGCACCCGGGCGTGCATCCCGGCACACTTGCCCGGGCACCCTGTCAAACAACCAAGCTATTTTTAGCATTTTGTCTATTTCACTACGCTCTTGGATTTTAAATTTTAATGCTTCGTATTTTATGCCACCCAAAATAAAGAGCAGCAACTCAACAATCACAGGACCCTGACTAGTCCCGGTCGGCCCCTCCCTTCCTCACCCCATTAACCAACAGGGGGAACTCACCAGGTCAAATCGCCGCCTGCAGTGGTGGTAACTCCCATCATTTCCAGGAATGAACCTTCCATCTGGCAGAACCGTGTCCACACGAGGGAAATCGATCCACTCTGCACCATAGATGTGTGTAATGAAGTCAATTAAACAACAATAATTGCCAGAAAAAAATGAAATTCATTTATTGCATCTTTTCTAGGTTCAGTATTCAACAAATGATAGGCATTGGAGGTAGAAAAACCACAGGTGTTTTTTTGCTCCGAGACAAGAACATCAAGTCCATAAAAGCCCATCAGCAGCACTGCAGACAGACGCTGCACACACAAATGTGCTCAGATAAGTCATCCCTTCCCTCCCAAGATTCCATTGAAAGGTCTGGAGTACATCTGCGAATCTCAAATCACAATATTAGAAGCCCCCCTTCACAGGGAGCCCCACCTTTCCCCTTATAAGATCCCTCCCCCTCCCCCCCCCTTAAAAGGGGAGGTCTCCCTTAAAGGACGTCAAGACTCAAAAGGGAGGCCCTCCTTAAGGGGCCGATTTGCATACTCGCATGCTCTTTGTATGCATACTCACGTACTATTTGCATGCATACTCACTATTCGCATGCATACTCACATACTATTTGCATGCATGCATAATGCATACGCACATACTAGTATTTGCATGCATACTCACATACTACATAGATGCATACTCGCATACTACTATTTGCATGCATACTCACTATTTGCATGCATTGCATACTTGCATACTATTTGCATCCATACAACTATTTGCATGCATACTGACACATACTTCGCATGCATGCATACTCACATACTATTTGCATGCATGCATACTCACGTACTATTTGCATGCATACTCACATACTATTTGCACACACACTCAAATACTATATGCATGCATACTCACGTACTACTTGCATGCATGCATGCATACTCACGTACTATTTGCACGCATGCATGCACACTCAGATATTTGCATGCATGCATGCATACTCACATACTATTTGCATGCATGATATACTATTTGCATGTATAATCACATACTATTTGCATGCATACATGCTATTTGCATGCATACGTGCTATTTGCATGCATAATCACATACTATTTGCATGTATAATCACATACTATTTGCATGCATGCATGCACATAATATTGGCATACATATTCACAAAACCTTTGCATGCACATAGTATTTGCATGGGTACTCATGTAACATTTACCTGCATGCTCACGTACTATTTGCATGCAAAGTGTGTGTGCAGTGCGGAGTGTGCACAAAATATTTGCACAGCATGGTATTTGAAACATACCATTGGCATGCATTACATCCATACTCACATACAATTTTCACGCACACTCTGATGTGCATGCATACTCACTCCCGTACTTTACCTGGATGTCCAAATTCATTTCCCATGAAATTCAGGTAGCCTTCGCCTCCAAGAGCCATGGTGATGAGTCTGATCATCTTGTGCAAAGCGATACCTCTATCGATTCGTGGGGTGGATGGGCCTTCCAACGCCATGTAATCGTACATGTCCTGATATACATACAGATACATACAGCAGACAAGACAATCGAAATGGGTGACAAGCTTTTATTAGGACTCAGAATTCAATCACCAGTTGTCAACTTCATTTACCTATGCCCAATCAATCTTCACATTACCAGATTAAAAGCATAATGAAATTACCTCTCCACATTACCAGATTAATATTATAATAATGAAATTAATCCAGGGTTGAGATTTTCAATCATTCATTCATTCAATCAAAAGAGAGAGAGAGAGAGAGAGAGAGAGAGAGAGAGAGAGAGAGAGAGAGAGAGAGAGAGAGAGAGAGAGAGAGCATACCTTATCCATGAGCCAGAAAGCTATGGTCTTGTCACCTACAAGGGCCTGATCGTGACTCTCTGCATACGCTACACATTTCTCGTCATGGCGCCGATTGGTTAAAGTGTGAACGATATCGCCCATGTCCCACTGCTCATCTGTTTTCCTGCAATAAGCAAGGACAAAACGCACCAGACAGTCACTATCACGAGTACAGGTTGATTTCTCCTCTCTCCTCTCTCTCTCTCTCTCTCTCTCTCTCTCTCTCTCTCTCTCTCTCTCTCTGTGTCTGTCTGTCTGAGCGGGTTTACAATCCCATTTCATAAGACCATTTTCCTATATCCACCAAATATATCATCAAACAGAACTGACCGCTAAACCATAGGCAGAGAGAGAGGGAAGGGAGAAGAGGACAATAAACAAGCTGTGACAAACTGTTTCAGAGTTTCACCGACTCATCAAGACAGAATAATAGTGTATACAGACGTGCCCGGTAAACCGTAGACAGAGAGGGAGGGAGAAGAAAAGAGGACAACAAACAAGGGGCTGTGACAAACTGTTTC